AACGCTGTTTCTGAAAGGTTAAAGCCATTGCCGATAAAACGGATAAATTATCCTTTTTAAGGCTGCTGCAGTTCAGGAAGCTGATGACTCTGATTTAATTGTGCCCTTTGTTTTGTCTGCTCAGGTGGAATCTGCATCGCTCAGTCTCTGAAGATCCCTCACGACCACAAACCCTCCGACTTCGATAAAATCATCCGCCAGCTGCTGGACACTCGGTACGCCAGGGCGGTCATCCTGTTCGCCTCCGATGAAGACATCAGGTAATAACCCTGCTGAGGTAACGTAAAAGTTAAACACGTGACCTGAATCATCGTCTTCACCTCAGGATGACGTCAGGACTGATGTGTTAGTGCCGGCAACACGTTTTTATTTGCTATATTTAATGTATTCAGATGTATTTTTATTGGATGCTCAGCACATCAGGACTCTTCCGGTCATGCCGGTACCCTCCACCCACTGAGAGGAAGTAAAAATGTTTGGATAATGAGCACGACCCTGAGGGAGGAGATCCTGGCGTGACGCTGGAGAGGTTACGTCTCTCGGCTGGTTTGGGAACGCCTCGGTCTTCCTCGATGAGCTGGCTGAGGAAAACTCGACATCAGTCAGACACTCTGGGAAAGTTGGGTGTCTGCAGACTTCCTGCGTTTCCTTCTTCACTCACTCTCTGACTCAGCGTCTCCGTTGATCAGTCGCTCAGATGGCGCTTGCAGTCTTCAGCAGCTTTAGGAAAGCCTGAACTAATCAGAGAAGGTCGTGTAGGTGCAGCGGGTTGGTGGGTAATCACAGGTTCGGCTCTTTAGCGACCCTGTTGGTCCAGGACATGAACCTCTGCTGATGTGGAAGCTAAAGTGTGGGCGGGGTCTGCTTTCTCCCACAGGGGCATCCTGAACGCCAGTAAGCGAGCGGACCAAGTGGGTCATTTCCTGTGGATCGGCTCCGACAGCTGGGGCGCCAAAAACAGTCCCATCCAGCACCTGGAGGACGCCGCGGTGGGAGCCATCACCATCCTGCCGAAGAGGGCCACCATCAGCGGTAAGTCCCTCGCCGCTTATGGTTTCACGTTGCTCGCCTTTATGAGAATATGTGAGCGAAGTTTATCAGCTCGCTGCTACATGAAGGAAATGAGAGGTTTTCTGTCCTCGCCGCTCGCTCTTTTTCCTCCACGTCTTCCTGAATAAGCAGAACTTCTGAAAACTCAATCGTGTCGGGAACGCTCGCCGTCTCGCATTTCTGGGTTTGCAGTGACACCAGATTGCTTTTTTCTTCTGTCAGCGCTGCAGAAATCTCACCGGGCATGGAGAGCTTTACTAAAGACCGCTGCTGCTCTTACTTCCTGTCAGATCTTAATGTGACGAATAAAGTTTCACTGCGGCGTGAAAACGTTCTCTGTAATGATTTTAAAGACGACCAACGTGTTAATGCAGAGCTGCAGAGTCCGAAGATGTTCAGACAAAATATGAAGCTGATCAGCTGTTTTTATAGAAAGTTTCACTTGTTGTGTTGGCATAACAATGATTTCACTTCCTGTGTTTCCTCTGATGTCACAGTGATGATCTTCCCGTTTTAAGCCCAATAACGTCGCCGTCTGCTGAGGCTGAGTTACTCTGTTTGTTTTATTCTGTCAGTTTGAGACGCTGATAAAAAGTCTCAGGTTTGAAAACAGATGGAGTTCGTGTGCAGATGAAACTCTGCTGATGGACACGCCGCTCACAGCTGACCTTAGAAACCTTATTCAGCACGCCGTTCGCTTTTACAGTTTGATAAATTAAAGCTGAATAAAAGCTTTAAGCAGTTTGATTGATATAATCAGCGTCACTGAGTCTAAACTAAAACATGTTTGTGTGACTCGCAGGTCACAAAGCAAACTTATTTTGAAAATCCCGACCTCTTCCTGTGTGCCAGAGTGTTTTTCTGAACTCTCTTCAGAGGTGTGACGCGCAGAGAAGCGCCGCCATCGTAACGACGCTGAAACCGCAGATCAGAGGAAACGTAACGAGACCGCGGCGCTGATGACAGCGTTTAGATTACAGCGCGTCGTAACTACAGACGGCGACGAGCGCGGCTGTCGTGTCAAACAAAGATGGTGACGGGGATACACGGCGGCGGGTTGTTGTGCCACTTCAACGCTCTGACTTCAAATAAAGTCTGAGCTCTTTGTTCTTTTGTTCTCGCTGCACTAATACTTCTGTCAGGAAGCGAGCAGAAGCAGCCGCGGCGGCGTTTCTGCTCGCGTAACGTTGCTCTGACCTTTTTTCTGCTGCCAAACACGAGCTGGGCAGACTCGGGCTGTCACCTCAGATCAGATGTGAGGTGCTGCGCTCATAAATTCTGCGCTCTGATGACTGATTTATGGAAATGGAGGTTTTCTGAGCATAAAGGCGCTCGCAGGGAGCACTGCAGCGTAACGAAGGGCGGGGCGAGTCAGGTTTAAGGGCATCAGACCCATTACACCAGAGGGCACGCCGCGAGGAGCAGGAAGACGGGGTGATGGGGAGAAATGTAGCTTCATGATGAGAGTCAGAGCCAGATTAACCTTAACTCTGAGGATGACTCAGCGCCAATAACACTTTAAACTCCGAAGATTACGACTCTCAGTCCTTCTACAAGTCGCAGAGCCTCGTTGTTATGCTGCGACATTAACATGCAGGCCAGCGCGCATGCATGCACGGTGACGTGTTCACCCTCTCCGGGTCATCTGGGGCTCCGTCAGAATCGGTCCTTTTATAAGAGCTCTCGCTGCAGACAGGAAGTCGGGCACTGAGGTCCCGGCAGGGCGTCGAGGTGCAGAGCTCTCGGAGCAGCCAGGCGGCAGAGGGCGCACGCTTCACTGACTTCTTCTCTTTGTTTTTTGCGGATGATTCAATCCTGGTTTCATCGAGCGCTGACCTCCAACTCGTGGCTGAGCGGGAATCGGCTGAGGTGGCGCTCTCGGCTGGAAAAGGCTGGTTTCTGGGTCAGCGATGAGTTTCTGCGTGTCTGAGGGTCGGGAACAGATGGACTGTTGTCGTCTGATCCCACCTGCTCACTGGTGAGCGTCGGCTTACTGATCGGCACGCCTACCCTCACCTGTGGCCCGTGAATAATGCCTCAGTGTGAGGAGTCACTCAGGGGGAGTTTAGAGTAGATGCTGCTCCCTGCAGGAGACGGCTGCAGGGAGCAGCAGGAGGTGCTGAGGAGAGGGAGGTCTGGGCGTCTCAGTTGGACGCGTTGACGCTGCTTCAGGTCCAGCTGCACAGACGTGTAGATCACGGCGTCGCTGCCCGTCTGTCCTCGTCTCTGCGCTCATGAACAGCTGATCGCTGAGGCTCATCCAGGTGGAACAAACACGTCTGTGAGCGACTGAAACATTTAAGAAACGGCGTGCTCGTTCCTGTTCCTGCGCTCTGATAGGTTACGTCTGCAGGCTTCTGTCCGACTTATAGACTCGTCCAGACGAATGTGTGCAGTGACAGCAGCCGTCCTCATTTATGCAGACATCGCTTTGCTGCACGCTCTCCCTCTGCGGCCTTGCCTGTCACACCGGCTGATATCGCATACACGTTAAAGACACTGAGGCTGATTATGAATAAATCAAGACCTCGTTTCAAATCTGCAGCCAAGTCTGTGTTTCAGGAGGTCAGAGAAAATAAATGCAGCTATTTTCATGTAAAACGCGGCGCTGCGAGCCTGAACGCAGCGCTGCTTACTGTGCCCGATAATTGCTGAGACTGAACCCAAGAGAGGAAGCGAGACGGGG